AAAATTATCTTATTCGTTTAAAAAAAAAATAAATTTTCAATTAAGGGTTCGTTTTGTTATTCGTCATTAAAACGAAATTTTTGGCGCCATTTTTTTTCTTTCCTTTTTCTTAAATTTTCCTTTGTTGTCCTTTTAGAAATGTTTATAAACAACAAATTTGCGTCTAATTAATTACGGAAAATTTGAAATCGTACCTCAAAAACGTAATAAGAAAAAAAAATTAATTTTATTAAAATGCCGTCATATTTTTTTCCTTTTTTTTCCTTTTAAACGAAAAATAAAAAAAATAAAAATAAAAACTTTTTTCAAGCAAGCACCTGACACGTTTTCTGCTTTTTCCCCCCCCCTCCCCTCTCCTATTTTTTTCTTCTTTTAATATTTCTCACAAATTTATAATAAATCAATGAGGAAAAAATGAAAAATCGAAAGAGAGCCGCCACCATATTGAAAAAAAAAAAATGTCAAAATTAAATTTTTTTTTTTTTTTTTCCTTTGACGTATTGCCAACGTAAGAGATATGAATTACGAAAAGAAAAAAAAAAGAAAAAAAAATTAACCTTGTACGTTCAAATTTCGACATGAAGTTTCCACCTTTTTTTTTTCCTTTTTTTTCCTTTTTTTTTTTCTTTTTCTTTTTTTTTTTTTTTTAATCCACTTCACATTTTTTTTTTCCTTTTTTCCTTTTTCTCTTTTTTTTCTTCACGATCGACTCATTTTTCTTTTTATTATTCTCTATTGAGAAACTTTATATAAAAAAAAAAAAAAAAATACGGTCTATTCATTTCTGACGATGATGATTAAAAGCCACCGTGAGAGTTTTCTATGTTTATTGGAAACCCAATATAAAAAAATTTCTTTTTTTCCTTTTTTTTTTTCAAAAGTTTCTTATACTAAATTTAAGAGAAAGAGAGAGAGAAAGAAGCAATAATAATAATAATAATAATAATAATAATAATAATAATAATAATAATAATAATAATAATAATAATAATAATAATAATTTATTTTCTCTGACCGGATTAAAATGAAATCGAAACCATCGCAACGAAAAAGTTCCGGAACTTTCCTTCTTTATTTTTTTTTTTTTTTGAATAAAAATGAAAAAATGGGGGAAGGGGAGGAAAGAAAGAGGGAAAGAGGAGGGGGAAAAAACAAATCTTTACCGTATTCGATTTGAATTTTAAAAAACGTTATACAAAAATTTTCGTTTCGAAAAGAATCAGAAAAAAAGAAAAAAGAGTGAGCTTTGTTTTATGTAATAAAAACTTTTGTTTTACTTAAACTCTTCTCGTTCTTTCTTCAAAAAAAAATTGAAAGTTTCGAAACGAAAAAGAAAAAAAAAAAGAAAAAAAAAAGTAAAACGAGAAGAAAGAGAAAAAATAAAAAATAAAAACTTTTGTTACCGTTACAAACTCGACTCATTATTAAAAAAAAAAAAAATGAAGAGATCGTACCGGATGTGAAAAAAATTTTTTTTTGTCGCAAAAATAAAAAAAAAAAATATTTTTTTCGTGTCTTATTTTTTTTTTCTCTATAATACATTTTCACATTTTCCTTTTTTTTTTTTTTATCAAAATCTGATTTAAACAAAAAACTTCTTACGATGTTTTCTTTTTCCCTTCCTATCCACCCACCCCTCTCCCCACTTCTTTAAATTTTCCATTTTGAATTATTAAACAAAGAAAGCGTAGTAGTTACAACGTTTTCTTTTACTTTTCTTTCTTCCATTCATTCATCCCCTTTCTACTCACCTTCTCTACTTCTTTATGCAAAATTCCTAACGTATTTCTTTTTCCCTACCCCTTCCCCCTTCTTCCCAACCTCCCTTTTTATCCACTTTTTTTTCTTTTTAAATTCACTTAAAAATTTCCAATGAATAGATTTTTTTTTTTTTTTAAAAAAAAGTCTCGGCAGCAAAAAAAGCATTTTCACATTAATTTTTCATCGAGTTTAAAATACAAAAATGTATTCGTCGTTCGATTTTTCCCCTTCCCCCTCCTTTCCCCCCTCTTTTGCGTACATGCTAAAAAGAAAAACCTGAAAGACGAAAAACCGCCATCGGAAAACATCGAATGGGAAACGAAACAAAGACGACCAAAACACAACATCAAAGTAAAACGTCATCAATTATCCTTTGGTTTCGAGTTACACATTTATGTAATTATTATTATTATTATTATTATTATTTTCAATTTTACACGTGACGTGATTCGGAATTTTCCATTCCAGGTCTCTACCCGAATTTCTCAGGTACAAGTCATCGAATTTCGTCGTTGGTGTTCTTTTATAATATTTTCCGAAGAATTTCCGGCCGTTTCCTGTACGATTTCTTTTTCTTCTTTTAAATCCTTCAAAATCTTGTTCAAATTTCCGTTTGATGAATGGGGAGACGTGGTGCTCCCAATTTTCCAACGACGATCGGAATTGTTTCTTTTTTTAAAATTTCCCACATCCGCCGGTACGGATACTTAAATAAATTTCCACCATTTTACGGTATTGATTATGTCTCGGAATAATATCCTGTTTGTTGGTTAGTCCGGTGGTTGTACCAACATTCCTTAGCTAGTCCAGATGTCGTCATAGTCACGTGTTTCGACAATATCGAACAACCGGAAATTAAATGGTCGACGATTTCCGATTGTAAATTCGGCACTTGTCGTCTTTGCGTACCCTATGAATTGCCCTACCGTTATAGTCGTTATTATTATTATTATTCGAAAATGTGAAAAATCGTCTGCTGCGGTCAAAACGAATAAGACAAAAGGGAATAGGGAGGAAGAGGAAAAAATCGAAACTTTACGAAACATTACGCGGAAACAAATTACAAAAGTTAAAGAAAAAGAGAGAGAAAAGAAAAGAAAAATCGCATTCGAGAAAAAAAAAATTTTCCAATGCAATTCGGTTGGAAAATAATAATAATAATAATAATGTCAAGTATCGCGCATCCTTTTTTTTCCCATTCATTCTCTCTCTCTCTCTCTTTTTTTTTTTTTTTCTTTTCTATTTTTTACTTTTCAATTTCCAGTAATTCCAACATTTACACTTCGACTATCATCTCATTCGCCGAATTCACTTTTTCTCTCTCTCTCTCTCTCTCTCTCTGTTTTTTTTTTCTACACAAATATTAAATTAGTTTTCAAACTTTTACCTTTATTTCATTACGCGTGAACGCAAAAAACAACAACAGCAACAGCAACAGCAAGAAAAAAAATTTTTTTTTTTTATATCCTTTTCCATTTTCCTTTTTTCCTATTTTTTTTTTTTTGGAATTATATGGAAAATCCAACGTGAAAACTAATCAGATGAACCAAATTTTTTTTTTTTTCCTTTTTTTCATCTTTCATCTTTTTTTTTTTTTTTTCATTTACACATTCTATATGCATTTCCTATAGCAAATCAAAATCATTTTTGGTTAAAGAGCAAAAAGCGAAAAATTGAATTTTTTTCCTTTTTTTTTTTTTTATTATGTTCGTGGAAAAGTTTTCCCCATTTTTCCTTTTTTTTTTTTTTTTTTTTTCATTTTTCCTTGTTTATACGTATTCATGGAAACGAGAGAGAGAGAGAGAAAGAGAAAAATCAAATCAAATTTTTTTAGATGTCAACTATTACATAAATTTTATTACAAAAACGGGGGGGGGCAGGAGGAAAAGAAGAAGGAGTTAAAACTTTCATAATCATTTTTTTTTTCTCATCGAACAAACAAATGAACAAATCTCGATTAATCCCTCCAAAAAAAAAAAAAAAAACGCTCGAAATTTCCAAGAAGGAAAACCGAAAAAAAAAGAAAAACGGAAATAGTACACGTTGGACATTATTTCCGGTTTTCGTCGACGATTCCTCACGTTTTCCTTTTCCTCTTTTTTTTTTTTTATTTTGATTAATTACAAATTCGTTTTTTTTTTCCTTTTTTTTTCAAATTTAAAAAATTTCGATTTCGTTTCCAATCAGTTCCAAACTCACGATGTGAAAATAATAATAATAATAATAATAATAATAAATTCTCCAACTTTTTCCCTTTCCCATTTTCCATTCCCTCATTTTTCCTCATTTCTCATATTTAAAAAAAAAAAAATTTAATTTTGACAGAAAATGAAACGCAAAAAAAAATAAGGAAAACGAAAACGAATAAACGTTAAATTTTTTTTTTTTTTTTAATGTCAAAAACTTTTGCTTTATAACAAAATATAATTTTTTTTTTTTCCAGTCTGGAATTTTCAAATTCCAGTAAAAATAAAAATAAAAAATCAATTTTGTCAGTTGATTAACCGTATAAATTTATTATTATGATGAAAACAAACAAAAAAAAAAAACTCCCATAAAAATCTTTTTTTTTTTTTTTGATGGATTTCAATTTTCCAAAAATTTTCTAATAATAATAAAAAAAAAAGGAAAGCTTCCATGGAAACTAACTCATCGATGATAATAATAATAATAAATGTCGAATTGATGTTTTTTTCCCTTCCCCCTTTCCCTCCCCCCCATCCAGACTATTGAAATAATTGTATAAATACACGTGCGCACGTGTACGTCATTAAATCTTTTTTTCTTTTTTTAATGTTTTAAAAATACGTTCGTATTAATTAATTAATTAATTAATTAATTATTCATAATTAATTACGTTCGAATCGTAATTCGTTCTCACGATGATAAATAACGACGATGATGATGATAAGTATTATTGAAAATCAATAAATCGATAATTTTTTTTTTACAATTTTTCCGATACCCGATAATGATTGGTATAACGAGAGAACTTTTTTTCCCCTTCTCTTCTTCCCTAATAAAATTTTCATGTAAAAAAAAGGGGGGAGGGGGGTCTGTCTCGAGAACAACCATTAATGCGACAATGCAAAAACCCCCATAGAATTCTGGAAAATTTTTTCCAGCTAAAACTTTCCAGAGAGAAAGAGAGAGAGAGAGAGGGAAACAAACATAATACTAAATATAAAAAAAAAAAAGTGCATTTGCGCACAACGCACAATAATAATAATAACAATCATCAACTCACCTTTTTATTCGATTTGAAAACGTTACATTTGAACACATTACTAGCACCGTCCCTGGCAATGTAACTGAATATTTTGAGATCTTGAGAATCGTGAGATACGTAAAATATCCTATTTAGAAAAAACAGAAAAAAATAAATAAAAATAAATTTTTTTTTTTTTTTTGACAATGAAAAATCAACGGGGGGAGAGGGTGAAATTTATTAATTTTCTTATCGTGGGGAGTTCAAACATAATAATAATAATAATAAAAGGTTCGAAACGAAAAAGTCGAAAACTTATCAGAAGAAAAATCCCACACGCCAACTTTATACAAAGATAAAACAACATTTTATTTCAATGTAAATAAATAAATAAATAAATAAATAAAATAAAATGAAAAAAGATAAAAAAAACGAGAAAAATAATGTTAATAATAATAATAATAATAATTTTTCTACTGCCACTATTTTTTTTTTTTTAATAACAGGGGGGAGGAGGGAAAGGAAACACATTTCGTTCGAATAACAAAAACGCGCGAATCGTTACCGCAAATTTTTGATTTTTTCTTCGAATAATTTTTTTACCGGGAGGGGGAGAGGGGAAACAAAAAAAAAATTTAATAATAATAATAATGATAATGATAATGATAATAATTAATAATAATAATTTCGCTCACCTGTAAATCGGATGATGCATGACTAATAACTTATTTTCATCCATCCATTGATTTTTTTGCAAACAAACGAACGCGATAAATATTTGCCTTTCCTTTTTTTTTTCTTTTTTTTTTGATTCAATAATAATAATGATGATAATAATGATAATAATAATAATAATAATAATAATAATAAAACAAAACTCGTCTTACTTTTTTTTTCTTTTTCAGCGTTACTCTAACTCCGTCCACGGATACTTCGACCGTAACTTTTTTTTTTTTAATTCCTTTCGCTTTGAATTCGTACTGAATTAAACACACCCAAAAAAAAAAAAAAAATTCAATAAATATTTATAATAATAATATATAATAATAATATAAATAATTAATTTATAATAATATAAATAATTTTATTTAATTTATTTGGAAAAAAGAGCGTCGTGAAATTTTTTTTTTTTTTTACACTTACACGTATTCTCCTCATGGCAGCTACGATTTCTATTCGACTCGTCGGTCTTGGTACATCTAAAGTTCCGATGTACTGAAAATAATAAAAATAAAAAAAACGTTAAATTCAATTCAATTACTTTTGTGACTTTTAATATACATTTAATATCGTAATCCTTTAAAAAAAAAAAATGCACGTGTGCGCGTGCAAGAAGAGACTTGCAAGTTATTTAAAATAACTTTTCGTGTTTTTTTTTTTTTACTTTTTTTTACTATTTTTATTGGAAAAAATTCGATCGCAAAAAAAAATTTGGATTATTTATGTACGTTTTAGAACACAGACAAACTTTAATAATTTTGTAAAGTGGAAAATTCAACCAACATCGACTGAATATTAATGCGAAATAAATAAAAAAAAAAAAAAAAAAAAAAAACGTGTTTTACGGTTAAAGTCTAGAAGCGAAATGAAAAGGAATGCCCTTTTCCCCCCCTCCCTCCCAATCTCCTGTTGGATACGGGAAAACCAAAATCCTCGTTTTGAAATTTTTTATTATTATTATTAAAATTAAATATAAAAAAAAAAATTACATCCGATTTAATATTAATAATAAAAATTTGAGTCGTGAATGCCGCCCGCCATTTTATCAAATTTTTTTTTTATAAACTTTTTCAAAGAACGAGTAAGAATATTTAAAATAAATTTAATTTAACGAAAAGTCCAGATGAAAAAAAAAATAAATGAAAAGAGAAAGAGAGGGAAAGAGAGAGAGAGAGAGAAAGAGAACAAGCAGACGACAGGAAATTACATAAATTATGAGAGAATAAAAAGAAAAATAATTTAAAACGAAACGAAATTCATAACGTTCACATGATACAAACACAAACTTAAATAAGATAAAGAGAGGCAAAAAAAGAAAAAATTACCCGTCAAATAATAATAATAATAATAATAATGATAATAATAATAATACCGCGTCGGAAAAATAATTCGTTATTAAACCTTTTTTTTTTACTCTTTTTAACTTCAACGACGAGGAAAAACTTTTGATGACCGACCGATTTACAAAAACAAATTATAATATTATTATTAATATTATTATTATATATATATTAATATTATTATTATATAAATTAAAATTATAAATTGAAATTGTTTTTTAAAAAAATAAATAATTCCTACGTCACAAATAAAAAATAGATAAGAGAAAAAAACAAAAGTTGAAGCTGAAAAAAAAATAAAAATAAATAAATAAAAGAGAGAGAGAGAGAGAGAAAAGGAAATGTTATTTCGATTTTATTCGAAACTGTAAAAAATTTTACTCAATTTCCGGTATATAAATATGAAAGCAAAAGATTTCCTTTTTTTCGCAAAAATTTTCCCTGCTCACTCTATCAAAAAAAAAAAAAAAGAGATTTTCTCTTACGCTAAATAAATGAAAAGTCATCTATCTGGTCGTCGTGATGATGTAAAACAAAAATTTTCCAACCGAGACAAATTTAAATGAAGAAAACAAAATTTTCCTATTTTCCTTTTTTCCTTTTTAAACAACTTTTTCACTATTAAATCAAACCTCAAAAACTGTACAATTTATTTAATTCAAATTAAACAATAACATTCAACTTATTTTCCACTTTTGTAAATAATTAAGTGTATAAAGAACAATAAAAATAAATAAATTTGTTTCTTTTCTGCATTCTTTCTCTCTCACTCTCTCTTTCTGTCTCTCTCTATTTGAAAAACTATCTTCTCAAATAAAAATAAAATAAAAAAAATTTATATATTAATCTCGACGACGACGACGACGACGACGATTTTATTAATGACACGCAATAAAATCCAAACTAAATGATTGGAGAAAAGTAAGAAAAACAAAAAAAAAAAAAAAAAATTCTTTTAGAAAATTGATTGTTTTCTCTCGATAAATAAAAATTTCGTTTCCGACGGAATTTTTTTTCAATTTTTTCCGGCATTTTTGTTTTTTTTTTCCCCCCTCATGTTCAATAAAAATTCAAATTCATTTTCGAACATAACTTCCGCTTTTTATTACGTGAAAATCACGACAGAGAGAGAAAGAGAGAAAGAAAAAACAAATTTCGATCGCATCAAATAAATAAAATTCAAAAAAAAATCTAATTGGCTGAGTATTCAGCCAATCATCATCGAGTTCGACATTAAAACCCTTTCGATTGGTTGACGATTTCGACCAATCACGTTTACGTATTTATTCCTTACAAAATTTTAAGAAACTCAGTCATCATTATTCTCTTTCTTTTTTTCTCTTTTTCTTCTTCTGTTTTTTTTAATATATTCCTTATTTTAATTCCTCCTTCCCCTCCCCTCCCCCCGTACATATTTTCATAAAAATAAATAAACAAAAAAATAATAATGATAACATTAAATGAAAAAAAATTCGTAACCGTTTTTTTTTTTTTTTTCTCCCTTTCACATTTAAAAATGTATATTAAAGAAGAAGAGAGAAAGAGAGAGAGAGGAAAAAAAAAAAATTAAACTCGGTTCATTTTAAAATTTATTTACATTATTAAAACTGACAGATGCCCAATAAATAAATAAATAAATAATTTTATATATATATATAAAACTTTTTTTTTTTTTTTTATCCTTTGAGAAGGGAAGTTTTTTCTTTTCTTAAGGAAAATAAAAATTTTATTAAAAAAAAAAAAAAAAAAAAGTAAATAATAATAAAAAAAAAAAAAGTAAATAATGAAAAAAAAAAAAAAAAAATTCGTTTCCGAGCATAAACTCGACGTAATAAATTAAAATTATGCAAATTATTTTTTTTAAAACCTTTTTCCTTTTTTTTTTTTTTTTTACCTTCTTTTTAGAAGGTATGTGGCAAAAAGGAAAGATCGAAAAGTAAAAGATCTAGGGATTTCTACCCAGAGAGAGAGAGAGAGAAGAAGAAGAGGTAAACATGAAAAATCTCATTTTTTTTTTTTTTGTAAGTTTCAATTTCATTTTTAAAAACGTAAAATTACGAATCTCAAAAACAACACGTTTAATATTATTATTATTATTATTTAAAAAAAAAAAATAAGGAAATCGTATTTAAAAAAAAAAAAAAAAAAGAAAAATAAAAAATTGAGTCGTCGCCAAAAACAATTTGAAAAAATATTATTTTATTTATTATTATTATTATGTATTACATTTATTATTTCCCGCAGATAAATTAACGTCGCTCGATTGCCTAAACATATTTTATAAGGCGTTTTTTTAAAAATATTTTTTTTCGTTGTAGGAAACTTGGGAAAAAAAATTGACTGCGTTCACACACGCACGCACACACACTAGACTACATGAACAAGTAGCAAAAAAAAAAAAAAAGTAATAATAATAATAATAATGCATCGATAACAATTTCCGCACTAATGTATCGTGTTTGACACCCTCCCACACACACACACAGACACGCAGAGAACACTCGTGCAACGTTTTCCGTTTGCAGCAGTAAACCACAGCAAATACGCGAGTTTGGTCTTGCATGAAATTAATAATAAATATATTAATAATTATTATCATCACGATCGTAAAACATCTAGTGACATTAATAATAAAAGGTCAATAATAAGGGGTATTCAAGTTGAAAACGAGAAGAACGTGAAAATTTTGCAATTGACTTTTACAATGGCAATAATAAAAATTTCAAATTAAATAAATATTCGAATGATTCGTCGTTCACCTTTACCGCTCGTCATTATTACTTTATAATTTGCATAAATAATGATAAATAAATCAATTTTTATTAAGCGTTTAATAAATAATTGTTGTACTCATCACCCCCCCACCTCCCCCCGCCTCCCCCGAGAGAAAATCCTTGCAAAAATTACGTTACAAAAACAAACGACACATTTAAAAACAACAACAACAATTTAATAAAATCCGTTTGTTTTTTACATAAATAAATAAATTCAATAAAAATGTCATTATTATTATTATTATCATTATTTGCTTATTCTTTTTCAAAACGTTCGAGTAATATTATTATTATCATTATTATTAATATATTTTTTTCATTAATATTTCATGTTATTTAATTTCATTAATATTTAATGTTTATTCTCATCGTTATTAATTGTTCGCTACTTTTCGATTACATTTAATTCGAAACGCCTTCGTAATTTTTCTTCTATTTTCTTTCTTTCTTTTTTCGAGGAAAAAAGAAAAAAAAGACAATTAGCGTCGTTTCGATCCATCGTTTGTTTGTTTGTTTGTTTGTTTGTTCTCCAATTTAAGCCAAAAATTTTGATAACGAAAAACTTCCAACGAGTTATTCAAAGAAAACAAAAAACATAAAAGAAAAATTATTATTATCATTATCATCAAGTAATATAATAAAATCGGTTTCTCATTAACACCTGTTCAAACTTGAATAATAACAACAACAACAACCATAATAATAATAATAATAATAAACGTCGTGGATTTAAATGTACGTGTTGTCGGTGAATGAAATTCATTTTCCATTATTATTTACCCATTCAAAATTTAGTTCACTTCGGCGAATCTCATACATAAATAGTAAATTAATTTATTTGAAAATACGTTTGAATAACATCACAAAACAAAACCGACAAAATGAAAAAAAAAAAAAAAAATTAAAGAAAAACAAGAAGGAGAAAAAGAGAGAGAGAGAGAGAGAGAGAGAGAGAGAGAGAGAGAGAGAGATCGCGCGTATTTTCCAAAAATGAAATCATTAACGAACTTTCGTATAATAATAAAACTACGTTAAACTCTTTAAAAAAAAAAAAAATTGATAATAAAAATATATATAAAAATTATTTATGTTCAACTTTTAACTCGTTTCGGCTTTGTTCGAGAAACTGAGAGAGAGAGAGAGAGAGAGAGAGAGAGAGAGAGAGTGAGAGAGAGAAAAAAAGAGAGAGAGACGAGCTATAAATCAATCATTCTAAAATGTCACCAACCTTTCAGAAAATTTTTTCAGGCAACAACAAACACAAAAAAAAAAAAAAAAACAAAACGGTACGAAAAACCTTTTGAAAAACATTAACTAAAAGTTT